CCCGGCCTCTCCCCCCCGGTCTTCTCTCAGGTTCGCCGGTTAATCCCGTCGGCTCCAGCCTCAGTTCTTCGAGTTGACGCTGAGAGTCGCCTGCCTCGGCTTATTGTGCCAGGTGTTTTTTCCTTTTTGTAATTTTTATAAATATTTTAATCTTATGAAATTTTTAATTGGTGTATTTTATTGTATACGTAGCCTTTTTCTCTCTTCTTAGCTCTGCTATAATTTCTTTTTCTTTTATGTTTTTAATCATTTATTACTAATCGATTGGAGTATGCCACCTAATTTGATTCTCATTGATCAACTAGACTATTAAACACATTCTAGTTTTGGTTTTTTCCTTTAACGAAAGTTTTAATTTCTCATTCCGGTTCGTGTAACTCAACAGTCATGTTTTTTACTGAGTACCTTTTTTTTTTTTATAAAAAAAATACAGTCAATATTGAGGGTGTGAGGAGTTAAACCTCCTCAGGATTAGCGGCTCTTAACCAATTGATCTACAAGAAGCCTGTTTTTTATTTTTAGTTTAGTATGTTGTGTTATTGTGAAACTATCGGCATAAGTACGTATTTAATAACAGAAAAATAGTGCCAACGAAAATTAGCCTAGTGAAAAATGAGAATGATATTAACTTCCAGAACAGGTTCAAACTTCGATGATATCTTAGTAGTGTGTATAAGAGAAACATTCCTCCTCATTATAATTTAAACTATTTGTTTGTATTAAAAAATAACAACATAATATCCAACCATTCATTTTCATAGACTACGTAAACACATCAAAAGAGGGAGTGTAGGTGTGTGGTAAGTATTGCGTTTAAGTCTCACCTAAACCAAATTTAAAAGGTTTCCTTTCTAATGCAAAAACAAAAGTCATAAAGGCAAAGTGATTAGTCACGTAAGTGGCGATGAAGACGTTTCAATTCTATACTTTGGATGAAAAATAATGTCAATATGCCATTTAAACCCACTATCAAATTTTGAGCATAAATCATAGATTTCATGTTCTCAATTAACTAGGGGATGTCTGGCAAAAAAGAAATAACTAAAGCATAATTTTCACCTTCCAAGTTTGACATCTCACACTCCTTTTACTCACATATGAGGTAATTTAAGGGTGATTTTACAGTCCCAAAATCATCAACCATTAACTAACCAAATTAGTAACTCAAATTGGGTCACCCCACTCCTGACTTTAGAATGATTCTGACAATGTACTCCACATTCTGATATTAGAGCTAAAGTACAATCAATTACTCTCTAACTGTTGTGGTCAAAAGGCCCACTAGAAGGATGATAGAGGAGTTTAGAGACCTTGCATGCTTATCTCTTGCAAATCTCTCTCCTTTTTGCAATGTTACTGTCCCTGATTGCCATACAAAAATTGGACCAGCTGCTTATCTCATTAACCACAAGTCCTCCCCCTCCACAGGTGTCACCACACACAGGGAAAGTAAAAGTTCTTATCAATCTATTAATTGAGCTGAAAAAAATAAATTTCTAACATGGATTTCTATAATCTGAATAACTGTTGTCTACAATCATGCGTATTATCTTTTTTGGTACGTAAATTATCATGTGACACGAGATATAGTACCATCCCCACTCTAGTCAGTCAATAATAAGAAAATATAAGGGCAGACTGCAGAATTGAAAATGAACTTTGAGAGAGAGGGAGGGGGGGACTCTCTGGCAGCATTTGGAAATTTATGAGATACGAAATCGCGGAGAAGGAGGAGGTGGTCGGGAAAAATTAGCCCCACTGCCAAAAGAAAATGAAGCCTCTGTGAGTTGATGAGAGGCAACTTGATTTTCACAAGAAACAGCCGCACAAGAGATCATGTGCCTTACAGGACCCTACAATTTGAAGTACAGTGACCCTCCAAAGAGGCCAAACCCCAAATCCAAAAGGGATTTGCATGTGCGCCTAAAACATCCTTCACATGCTATTTTAAGCAACGGGATATGCCCTATAGCTAAAATCATTCAAAAATATTGCTCCACAAAGCCCACAATGTTTAACTTATTATTCTGAGAATAAAAACATTATGGTCTAAGACAAGGTTGTGAAGGGCATGCCCTACCAACAAAAATGTCACTCTAGGGCTTTTGTTTTTCCTCTTTGAGAGCTTAGCAAATGAGCAGTAGCATTAGCAAGCAAGTTTGGCCACGGCAATCGGCCACGTGTCGGCTCACGAGTGGAGACAGATAGGGCAGAGGCCGGAGTGGCATGGCATCATTGTCAAGTTAGTTTTCAAAAGTGTTTTTGGAAGCCAAATTGGTCGAATCAAGGACCACATATATTTTGTGTCTTTGTAGGCTTGCATGCCCGTCTGTTTACGAATCACATTTTGAGTGTTTGCTTTCATTTATTTCTTCATTTCAAACACATAGACCGTATCCTCACATGCTTCCATGTGCTTTCCTTTTCTCTTTTTCTCTTCTTTTCTTCACAATTTACTTTTATTATTGTTATTATTTTTTGATTTATTTCTCTAGCTAGGTTATTGGAGATTGAACAGTGAGATATAATTACCCCAGGCTCCTAGCAATGCTTTTGCCATAATAAAAGCATCCTGAATCTGCTAAAAGGGTTTCTAGCTAGGTTTGTTTTAGCTTCTTTTTTTTCTCTTCACATTTGGTGTGTTTATAGTACTTTAATCTTGAATTATATGTTGAATAATACTAGTCCTACCACATTTTTTATACCACAATTTTATACCACATGATGTGGCAGCTGATGTGTATATACCACATCATGTAAAATCCTAGTTTTTGTTTTTCTAATTTTATTTATTAAAATACACTTCATTCACTTAATTGATGTGACATATGTCACATCATGTGGTATAGAAATGTGAGATAATAATGTGGTAAGTGTAGCATTACTCTTATATGTTTTCTGGTTTGCCGGCTGTGTTTTAAACTTTTAATCAATTGAATTATGGGTAATAAGCTTGAGATATCGCCACAGTGATAGTCCTCATGTGTATTATTGTAAAAATATCTAAGTATTAATAAATAAATATATAAAAAATATATGATTTGTCTTAACTCTCAATGGTCCAGAAACGTGGCCTTCAGGAGGCTCAAGATATGTTGGCTTCAAATTCGCTTTCCCATTTAAATCGTAACACCTCTTCCACCTTGGCATGCAATGTGTCGTTCTCTAGATGGGTACCTGATTCTGACATAGAGATGAATGTGCCAAATTAGTGGCACTTGCTGCCAAGTGATATGTCTTGCCCCTCATATTCTTCTGCATTATTTTTCTCATATTCTGCATCCTTCTCAGCTTCTCTCGGCAGAGACCTTCAGGTCTACTTAAGCCAACAAGTTACATCAACTTTTGGATTCTGGCTCAGCATTTCACATTGCTGATTTTATCAATTGCCGTATTTTTCAGAGAAACCAGTTTGAAAATCAACTACTTTCACACTTCAAAGTTAATCCCATGATTTTCATGCACTATTAAATCAATCTCCGTACATGTGTTAAAGTTTAAACTATTCAATTCATTTTTGTTTCAATATTGTGCTTTGAAGAGGACTCGAACCTCCATACAATTTAGCACGAGATTTTGAATCTCGCGTGTCTATCATTTCACACCACAAAGGCATCTTGAATTTAATTTTTTCTTGGTTCATTTCATAGGCCTATATCTCTCTCTCTGTTTTTCCTCCTACCAGCATCACATCACATCTTCTCATAAACAACGTTTTCACCTGGTAAATTTGCTGAAAACCCAATTTCATTTTGCACCTCTAGTGAATTTGATTCATATATATTCCTGACAAGAGAAAAAGAACATAGAAGTGGGATTTGTCAAAACGACAAAAATGAGGGTCGCACAAAACGACAAAAAGGGAAGGAAGCACTTTCGAGTTGTCAAAGTCCAACAACCACCCAATAAAGGAAGGCCCCAACAACATTGGTCACGCAACACCTTGGAGTTGGGCCCAAAACCTAAGTAAGAGGACAAAATGTCTTGTGTCAAAACGAAGGGTTTTTGGGGACCCTGCACTTCTGCATTGCAGCCACTTTGTTTTGTGGTGCCATGCCATCACACTTGGATAATTGGCCAACTCGTGGAGCATCCTATCAGCACATACGCATCTCTCTCTCTCTCTCTCTCTCTCAATGATTCTCTGTCTTGTGACAAAGTTGACTACCAAAACGTAACCAAAGTTTTCGCTCAAGGCTCTTCTTTTTTGGGACCCCTTTGGTATTATGCTTGCCGCACGTGGCTCCTTGGTGGCTAAAGAAAATGACCCCTATTGCTGTGCATGTGCTGTGCTGTGCTGCTTTCATCAAACAAAACCTTCAAAGCCCATCAAACGTTTGGATACAGCATCAAAGGACCAAGTCCAAGAGACTTGGCGGCTTACACTTTGAATTGAGATCAGCCAGAAACAAGCCCGAGTAAAATTCATGTTGCAAATGCAGGGAAAAGAAAACCAAAACCAAAAAATCAAAGAGCTCCTTCTTTCTTCAAACCAATGAACCAATAATGCTTAAAGAAGTTGTCCCAATGGATCAATCAACATTCACACAAAGGTTTCGATACTAAAACACGTGCAACTTCTGCAAAATATGAAAAGAGCTACCTTTGTTTGCGTTTTTGGTCTTTCCACAAAGGCAATTGCAGCATTGGAAATCACCTTGGCTCTCTCTAAATTTCCTCTTAAATTCCTCCAAGTTTTGAGGTGAACAAATTATGTCAACTTTCTCCGATTTCTGAGCACACCCGAGTATGTACTTTGCTAATGTAACACTATCGGACCCGTCTGAAAGCTCTATCATAAAGTAATTAATTTCATTAATAAAAGTAAGTTTCTCTAGTTTCCAGTATCCCATATCAAATCCACATTTCTGAAAAAAAAAAATAAAAAAAAATAAAAAAAAATCAGTCAAAGATTAGTTCCAAAAGAAAGATTAAAACCAAATATGAAGAAAAAGGACCTGCGTTATAATCAAAAGCATGGTGAATATGAACCTAATTCTAGAAATGATAATAGAATTCGCTAACGGGGTCCTTAACTTGCAGAATCCCCACAGTATCATAGTTGTGTGTGTGTGTGTGTGAGAAATCCCCCTCCTCTATAGTTAGTTTAGACTATCGTTTGTACTAAAAAACATATTCTAGAAATTATAATAGAGGGCGTGGGAGAGTATATCTAAATATGAACTTATATTCAATCAACCTTTGTATTTATTGCATACTAAACTTTTGGCTCACAATGGCTCTATTTGCGATATTCCTATCTATTATTTTGGAGATTTATA